TGAAATTAATATTCTGATTCAGCAGAATTGGCACAATAGCTTGGCATTCAGCATTCGTAATAAGTTCCCAAATGATGACAATGCTGTCAGTTTTCTTCAAAGTGCTAGCATGTTTCAGTCCTATGGCAACTTGACATTGATCAGTGTATTTGTTCTCAAACAGGATACCAGTATTTTGTAATTTTTTTCTTTTTCTCTATGCCACTTATTTTGAAAGATAGCTTTACACATTGACCTATGTACATGTGGGCTTTTATTTTGCCTATTTTTCCATTTTACTTTATCTGAAATTCATTTGTTTTGTCTTATAACATTCTGGGATGGATTGCAAGAAAAACTGCTCTCTCACCAGAGACAGTTTGAGAAACACTGCTCTAGACATCTAAGAACTGTTTATTTAAGATATGAATTCAGTTAGAAATGTTTTGAATTCTGTTTACATATGATTCTAAAGCAGTATTTTAAACTTTTCTTTTATTTATTCCATAAACAATAACAAAACTCATCTAGGTAACATTATGACAGTTTCACCATACATTCAGTCACAAATATTTAAAACTTTTGCAACAAGAACAACAAAACCAGAGGTGTTACAAGAATAATTTACAAGAAATTCTATAAAACAGCAAGAAGCTCACAAAGTTCATTTTCTTTTGCACAAGATCACTACACTCTTTCACAACGGATTTTCTGTTACAAAATTCCCAACAAAAGTGTATTTTCTTTGTATTGTGGTTTCTAAAACCAGAAACTTCGAAGTAAATATCCTTTTATTAGCACTCAGTGGTGCAGAAAAAGGAGAACTCTCACATACAGACACTTCACATCACTTTTCTAAGAAAAATATACACTTACAAAATATGTTACAAATTGGCACACTTAAAAATATACAAGATTTTGTAGGCGTCTTAAGAGTGATCCTTAAGCTTTATACTTCAATTGACTCTACAGATTATTTATAAAGCTTAATTCTAAAAGAAAAAGGCAAATAATTTCCTAACGTTAAAGTTGCAGTGTCATGTGTCAAACAGAAACAGGTTACATTCATAAAAAGGGCCTCTAAATGTTTTTACTTTAATTTTTCTTAAATGTTTAAGGGACATGGGGAAGAAGAAAAATGGGGATAATCTTTTTCTTTAGCACCATAAAGCATTTAACTTACTGAAGAGGTGCATTCAGTCTATGGAAACTAAAGACTAGTAAGTACATTCAAAACTCTGGAGGCAGCAAACTCCAGTCAGTGCTACAGCTATCCCAGTGGAGACTCTGAAGCTCTCTACCTCCCTGGGAGTGAAAAACAAAAGGCCCCTTTTAGTTTTCATTCAAGCCTTTTCTTTTGTGCTGTAAAACCAGGCATTGCTCGCTCAAAGAGGCAGAATGATTTCAGTATCTCCTTCCTCCCCTTCCTTCCTTCCTTCCTTCCTTCCTTCCTTCCTTCCTTCCTTCCTTCC